AACAATCCACTCTATCAACGTCAGACCATTGCAGAGTTCCTTACACCAAACGTTTCAGAGTACGATAGTATTCAAGTACCGGGAATCACTGCCAACCGTTATGAGATCAAGCCGGCGGTGATAAGCATGGTGTCCAATAATCAATTTGGAGGAGGCCCTACAGAAGACCCAGTGGCACATATTACCCGTTTCCTGAGGATGTGCCAGACTTTCAAGATACCTGGGTTAACTCATGATCAGGTGAGAATGATGCTTTTCCCGTTCTCACTGAGGGATGATGCACAGAGGTGGTTGGACAGCAATCCTCACCACCACCTCCAGACTTGGGACCAGCTGCATAGTGCCTTTATTAAAGAATGCTTCCCTACATCAAAAGCTCTGAAATTGAAGAAGCAGCTACAGGAGTTCAAACAGGGATCTCTGGAGACTTTAGCTGAAGCATGGAAGAGATTCAAGGTGCTGAGGAGAGCTTGCCCTCAGGTCAATTTGACTGATTGTGAGGTTCTTTTTTACTTCTATAGCGGACTCGGCAATGAAGGGAAGATGATGCTTGATGCTTCAGGTGGTGGAGCCTTTCCTGATCTACCATCCGAGGTGGGGGAAGAACTAGTGGAGAAGATTGTTTCAAATAATGCGTCCTGGTACAGTGATAGGAATTCTCCTCAGCAAAAGGCCCCGGGTTTGTATGAGATCAGTAATAATTCTGCCCTTTCTGCAAGGGTAGATACCCTGACTAGTATGATTCAGAAGCTAGCTGCCACCGTGGAAAATAATCAGAAGAAGACGAATCTTGCTCTCTCGGTGCCCAGTGTAAACATGGTAGCCCCCGGTCCTACGAGTCCTGCTTGTACTATGTGTGGGGGACTCCATTGGCCACATGAATGTAATATGATGGCGCGCTCGGCAGCCCCTGGATTAGAGCAAGTGGATGCGATGTATTATCAGCGACATGGCTATTACAATCAGCCCTACGGACAGCAGCAGCAAGGAAATTACGGGCAAGGAAATCAGCAGCAGCAGTCTAGAAATTATACTCAGCCCCAGGCGCCTCAAGGCCAGCAACAAGCATCTCAACCAGTGCAAGGGAGCTTCATGAGAGAGACTGAACAAAGATTTTCTAGCATGGAAGAAACACTCAAGAAATTATTGCAATTTCAGCAGCAACAACTGCGATTTCAACAACAAGCGGACTCAAGGATGCAAAATATTGAAAATCAATTGGGGCAGCTTGCAAAAGCCATATATGAGAGGCCTCAGGGATCCCTCCCTAGTAATACCGAGCCAAACCCAAGAGAGCAAGTGCATGCCATCACATTAAGAAGTGGAAGGGACCTTGAACCTGCTGCCATAGAAAAGGAGTCTGCGGAGGTTGTACCTGCTGAAATTGGCCATGAAAAGGAGAAGGAAGAAGAGAGGAAGGAAGAGGTGGAGGAAGTCCCAAAGCAATCCATTCCAGTCAAAGCTTACAACCCACCCCTCCCATTCCCGCAACGATTAAAGGGGAAGGGTGACACTGAGGACTTCAACAAGTTTTTGAAACTCTTCAAACAGGTTCAAGTAAACGTACCATTCATGGAGGCACTGCAACAAATGCCGAGGTACGCAAAGTTTATGAAAGAACTCCTCTCTAACAAAAGAAAGTGGGGAGAACCAAAATCGGTGGTGCTGAATGAAGAGTGCTCGGCAGTGGTGCTAAAGGAGATGCCTAAAAAGCTCAAGGACCCAGGTAAGTTCACTATCCCTTGCTCTATAGGAAATGAGATGTTTTATAATGCTTTAGCTGATTTGGGTGCAAGCATCAATCTAATGCCTTCTGCTTTGTATGAGAAGCTTGCACTCGATCCACTTAAATCAACACGCATGTGCATACAACTGGCTGACTGATCGGTCAAATACCCTCAGGGGATTGCTGAAGACGTGTTGGTTAAAGTGGACAAATTTGTGATTCCTGTCGATTTTGTTGTCCTAGATATGCCCCAAGATCTTGATGTGCCCTTAATTCTTGGAAGGCCTTTTCTGGCCACTTCTCGGGTCCTCATAGATGTTGGGGAAGGGGAATTGATTTTAAGAGTTGGGGAGGAGAGAGTCACTTTTTGCATGGCCAAACTGGCAAAACAATCCGGTTAAGATGTTAATGAATGCTTTTTGTTAGATGCCATTGATCCACCTGGAAAGGAGGAAGGGAAACCCCCACCTCTTAGAGAGACTGATTTTGACCCATTCTTTGATAAAGGGCCTAATAAAGGCCTAGACTCATTCTTGTGCTCTACGAGTGGCCCTGAGATGCGCAATTGTTTTCATGAATTTAAGGTTTTACGTCATCTCAGGGCATTTGTTGATACAAGGTTTGATTTGTGGAAGACTAATTTTTTTGAGCGGGAGTGTCTTTAACTGAGGTTTTGATGAGGTGGTTGCGTCGGGCAAACGACGTTAAAAATAGCGCTTCTCGGGAGGCAACCCGAGCTTACTTCTGCATTTGTTGTTGTTTTGTTTGTTTTGTGTGTTTTGTGTGTTTTGTTTTTGCATCTCAGGATCTTGTTGTAGAGATGATGTGCCGAGGATCACTTTACTCAGTTTAGTTATGCACCGACCAACGCCTTTGGGAAGTTCCTAAGACTCTTACTCGCCTATTTTAATAAAATGACTTGAGATGATTTTGAGCACGCGTGACCCTTTTTTTTTACCCCCTTGTGCATAGTGCATATTTAGTCATCGAGGGCGATGCCAAAGTTCAAGTGTGGGGGAGTGAATTGGGCATCCGGGCAGTAGTTGTTACATGTGATTATTAGAGTTAGCATGCGCAGGTGTTAGTTGTATATTCATAGGAAATTCATGTCAAATTTTTTGAAATTTTTCTCTAAACCGTGTCTTTGTGAGCTGGCTAGCATTTTGACTATGCTTTTAGAACATCTTTGAAGTGTTTAGGCTTAAATTGCTTGCACTCTAATCTAGTTGTTGAAAGGATGAAGGTATTAGTCACCCATTGAATTAATTCATAAATTTTCCATCCCACCTGAAAAAGTCCTTTAGGAGAAGCCATTTTGAGCCTGACTGTTCTTTGTTTACCCAATTAATTGAGCTCCATAGCCAAATGGCCTCTGTTTTCTTACCCGTGAATATTTCTGACTTAGTCTTGATGTTTAGGGAACTAGGGGATTAATTTGTTAAGTTTAGGGAACTTGTGTAGGAGCCATTTTTGGCACTGCTCCTATGCCCCAAATGGGGTAAGAGCAGTCACTTTTTAGGAATTTGATACTTTCGAGGATTGCATTGTAGGCATGGATTCACTTTGAATTAATGAACTTTAATTGCTATTTTTTCCTTGGTGAGACCGAGATTAGAATGGGGTAATGTCTAGTGAGAATCCGAAAGGTGAAAATTAATATAGCTAGACCTCTTACCTTGCGAAAAAGAGAATGGGAGCCCCGGTCAAAAAACGTAAGTGTTCGCAGAATAAGATGAGACTTGGGTATCTTTCGAAAGAAATGGCGTTCTCGTGCCAACATGACAAGGAAAACTGAACTTATTTTATGAACTTGGAGGCTTTAGAAAAATTAGTTTTAGTCCTCCGCGTACTTCAAGTATACGTCAAAGCACCAATGTGCCGAGACGGTTTAACTTAGTTGTACACCATGTCTACTCTTTGCATAGGTTTAGATGATTCTTCCTAAATTGTGGCCTACTGAGTTCCTTGATCCTAAGAATAGCCCTGAAGTTTCTGAATGCATTGAGTCTTTGTTAGAATATTCCAATCTCTCAAAAGAAAGGGGCTGCTTATCACCATTCACCATTACCTTCACAAGTCCTTCTCATCAATAACTAGTTTATTTGTGTATGCTGTCATTACTTTAAGGATGTTGTGAATAAATTTGTCAAATATTTTAGCTAGAGTACAAAGATGTAGTTTAGGGAAGAATTTTCTTGGTTTAGTTTGTCTGTTATGTGAATACCCTTTAACTACATGTGCATGCTAATTGTTTTGATTCCGTGTGGTGATTATCGTAAGCCCCGTTGTTCAGTTTGCTTGAGGGCAAGCAAAAGCTTAAGTGTGGGGGAATCTGATAAGTCCGTATTTAGACATGCATTTGATGCGTGTTGGGATCGGGTTTGATGGTTTTCCCTAGCTTTAAGGTGTTACAAGTCTCAATTTTAGCTCAAGTTATGTTTACCGGGCGTTGGTTCGAGTTTTGTGTCATTTGGAGTCAAAATCAGGATTTTAGAGTTCGGCACTGGCACTTGAGGAGAAATCGGGATGAGTTGAAAAGCATTTGAGATTGATTTGAGAGCTATGGAGGTCAGCGGGAGGTTTACGATGAAGATTTGATGACAAAAGGGCTCTAGGATTGGCTTCAGGATCAAAAGAAGATGAATGAAGCTTGAAAACGACGATCAGGACGACCTTCTGTCAATCATTCAAAAATATCTCTTTGTAGAAACAACTAATGGACATGATTCAAGTTGTATATGAAAGACAACTTCAAGGGATATAAATCATATGAAGACACCGTTACGAGAATAGGAGAGAAAGAAGGTGAAAACAGATGACGAAGTCAGATGATCTCTGCTGCGATTTCAGAATGACACCTTCCCCCGTTTTGATCATATCTCTTGATTAGATGATTCAAATCATATTCTGCAAGTTGGGGTGGATAGAGGACTTCATTAGCTAAAACTTTCATGAAGGAAGTTTTGTCAAATTCGGACTAGAGAAAAGTCTGAAGAACACGGACGCACGATCCACTAGTACAAAAAGGCCTTTCTAGATCATGCTTTCTACTTGTGTTATTCTATAACCCATGTGGAATAGTGACACGGGGTCATTTTTGCAATTTTTATAACTTATTTCACATTGGTTACATGAAGAACCGATGTCAATTAGAAAACGGATATATTTTATAATTTTATAAAGTATTCCACATAGGTTACGAAATTACCCGATGTAAAAAAACGGATACGGTTTTTACATAACACTTATCACATCTGTTATGAACGATGTAGAAGTTGCCCAAAGAAAATAAGAATAGTTATTTCAGATCGGCTAAGTGTAATATTAGTATTGTCCACGAGATATGGGATGGATGAACGACACCAATTTATACTGGCGAACACACACCTTCCCCAAAATATAGATTAACATCTGTGAGCCTGTGAGCGGAGCAGGTGCCAGCCATGGTAGGCCGCGAGCGTAGCAGTCCGTGATCTAGCAGCGACGTGCGGCGCAGACAGCGATCGGCGTAAGCAACGAGCAGATCAAGCGGAGAGCGTAGCAAGCAGTGAACGGCGCAGGCAATGAGCAGACTAGTATCCAGAGAGCGTAGCAAGCCGCTAGCGGAGCAAGCTGCTGGCAGAGCAACTGCGAGCAGAGTAGGTCGCGACCGGAGCGGCTGGGGAGAGTGAATACACCTCTGAACCGCCGTTCGTTTCTTCCAGGTACTAGTTATGTACTATTTTTATATTTTGACCTACAAATTGACGTTGTAGGTTAGGTGTTCGATAAAACGCCTGAGATTTTCAAGTTCAACTTCAACCTCAACTGTAAGTTTGAACCAGGTTGTATGTAATTGCTTGACCCACTAATACTTAAATTGAAAACTTCAATTTCAATCGTAAATTTGAACCAGGTTTTTTCAACTTTGAAGTTTCAAGTTTGAGGTTACAGACATTACACTTTCAGGTAGTTTACACTCTGGAAACATTTGAAGTTCTGGTTTACACTTTCAGTAGTTTTCACTTTGGAAACACTTAAATTTAGTTTACCCTTTCATCTAGTTTACTAAAACTTAAACTAGTTTCAGTAATTTTGAACTTTAAACATTTAATTTCTAAGTTTAAATCTGAATTTTCAGCTCCTTTAAACTCACTGAATTTCACTACTTTAAACTTTTGGCTAGTTTAAACTTTGAGTTTTTAATTTTACTAGTTTTAACTTTCAGCTAGTTTAACTTTCAGCTCCTTTAAACTCTGGAGACTGAATTTCACTACTTTAAACTTTTGGCTAGTTTAAACTTTCAGTTTTTAATTTTACAGTTTTAAACTTAATAGTTTAAACTGAAGTTTAAACTTTCAACTAGTTTAACTTTGAACTTTCAGCTTTAATTTTAAGTTAAAATTAAGTAATTTTCTACTTTGAATTATCAAGTTTTACTTTACACTTTCAGCTAGTTTAAACTCATAAACTGAAACTGAAACATTCAATATATTTATAACATAATGTTGTACTTTGAACTTTCTTTTAAAGTTGAACTTAGACTTTAAGATTTAGTGTAAATTAGGTAATTTCAACTTTGAATTCTGAAGTTCAAGTTAAAACTTTCAGCTTGTTTAAATACTGAAAACTGAAACTGGAACATTCAGTTATAAAATTTTAAAAGTAACTTTACTCTTTAATATTAAATTTCAAAGTTCAAATTTAACTTCAGTTATATTAAGTTTACTCCTTTTAGTTTATGAAATCTAAATCCTATGAAGTCAAATGTAAAAATAATTATTCACATTTGATTTCATTGTTGTATTTTCAAGGCATAGCTAAACATATGAAAGAGCTTTTTTTCATTAGGATTTGTGGAGATCCATACCTACCCCAAATTTGAGAATGAAGCTTTGCATTTGCTACTAGCTTTGTGAAGGTTTGCTGCAGCCTGCAGGTTTTCAGGTTCCTTTTGTTAGCCCTATTATCCTTTAGATTTAGAACGTTTTGTAGTTCATATTATGGTATCAACATGTTTTTTGTTGGATTTATGTTATTTCTTGTGTTATTTATTGACTTGTATGTAGTCATGAAAGCTCATTAAGGAAGGTGTCACCAAAGCTCTAGTGTTTGACTAAAATAAAGTGATGAACACGAAGCTGATTGGGGTAGAGACCAACGTTAAGTACTTGAGTGTTTGTATGATAGTGCGTATGTATATTTATACTAAGAATCTGTACTTACGAACTACTAAAACCAAAACTACATCTACATGTCTATATGATTAGGAAATGATTACATTCTGCTAATGGGATTGTTTGAATAAACTATACTGATTTTGTTGCATCCATTTTACTTTGTATTGCCTTTTATTGTTTAAAGTTTTGACTCGCTTTATGGGTACATATGAAATATGGTAAATGCTCTCATTATCCTGAAACGTTTTCCATTTGGGGGATTTCCCATATACCAGTTTGATCCAATCATCCAGTGAGCAGAATTGTGTTGTTCTAAATTACATGCTCCCATGTTTCTTCATTACATAAGGAGGTTAATCATTTTAATGCTTCTACAGGGACGGTTTGAAATTCTGTCACTTTCTGGATTCTTTATATTCTCTGAAGTTGGTGGTCAGCGCAGCAGAATGGGTGGGTTGAGTGTTTCTCTAGCTGGGCCAGATGGTAGTGTATTAGGTGGCAGTGTTGCTGGTCTTCTGATAGCAGCTGCTTCTGTTCAGGTCTTTCTATACAAACGGTTTTCTATTATTCTATATACATTTTTTATCATGTTCATAGAGATCGCTTATTTATGGAAACCTGACAAATGACTTGGAGTCTGGGGTGCCTAGTGGACAACCTAGGCTAATAATACTCATTCCCGCTCACTGATCAAATTGCTTTTTTTCTTAACACAATTAAAAATTATTTTATAATTAAACAATCATGTCACAACTTGTTTTGTATGGTTCCTGCAGGTGTTATTTTTAAATTTGTAAGTTCGTTTATTACATGCAACTAAAAATGGAAATAATTTGAATACAAAATTGTTCAGTCTTTGCTTTGTTGCTTTGTTCAAAAACTATATAACCGCAACTATAATGTTGTATTTTACATCTAGTATTTTTCTAAAGAAGAAAAGAGATACTTAAAGAAGGTAGCTTTTACCAATAAATGTCAGTTGAAATCTTAAAGATGCTTGGTGGTGTCTCGTGGCCAGAGTTTTACAAGTGTTAGTTTTTTATAAACTTTAGGCACGCGCGCGCACACACACATATACGGAGTACATATTTGAGATAGGTAACGTAATCGAGTTTTGTTTTGTGAAATTGTGTGATTTTCCTTGTTTGTATAGCGAGAAAGCCCTTGTTTGACATTTCTCATCATCTTCTACTGCTTCAGGTTATTGTTGGAAGTTTCCGTGTTGACGTTGAGAAGCTACAGAAGCTAGGCCGTAGTGAGAGGCTGTATGCCTCTCCTCCTCCTCCGCTAGCCAGGCCTCCGGCCAAGGGTCCCAGAAGTCCACCTTCGTTTGGAAGCCTAAGCGAATCCAGCGGCCCAGCCAGCCCTTCCGCTCCTACGGGTCATAACCAACACCTCCTTGAAACATCAACTAACAGTCCGCCTGGAGTCCCAAGCTTTCTGTGGAGGTAGAATATGGTCTTTTAATTAGTTTTGAGATCTTTCTGCAGGTTAGTATGGAGGGGCATAAAGGTATTAAACTGAGTTCAAATGAGATTGTGCTGAAGAAGACATAAAGATAGCTAACATGTTTTTCGTGGAGTTCTTTTATATCTTGGTGTGGAGTTTCACTCCAAATCATAGGTGTCCTCCTTTTCATGTTATTCTTATTTTCATAGTTTTTCCCTATTCCCTTGATTAGTGATTCAATTTTAATTATAACATTGTTTCACTCTTAATTTCATTTGTTTTCTTAATTAATACAGGTCTGATTGTATATTCTTGATTCTTGAATTATATTCCATAGAGCTCTGGTATGGCATTAGTACTTATTTTAAGGCAGCCTAGTTATACTGCATGCAGCCTAGCACAGTGGTTAAAATGTTGCCACTCTGACATAAAAGATAGGTTTGAGTTCCGGAAGAGTTGAAAGTGTTAAAATAAATTTCCGCTTCTACTTATAGTCTTATATAACTCAAAGCAACTTTTGTTAGGTATAAGCAATAAGATATTGTTGAACTTCGTGTTTTTGTTATGCAATAGTAAGATTTTATTTTGGCTTTGTAGAGATTATTCAATCTGGAACCGTTCTCTCCGAAAGACAATGAGCATCATTTTCTGGATATGTATAGTGAATTCCTTCAACGGCACGAGATGAACGTTATGCTATTTTACAAGTTGCTGCACGTTGACATTCAGTATTATTAGAAAATTTAGTCTTGTTATTTGTAAAAGTATTATAAATTTATGTTCAAAGATCGTGAGTAATGTGTAACCCATTGATACTTTACCTACTTGTAAAATATTTAATCAGGTAATGGAATGTTTTTATGGTGTTTTGCTAATTTTGGTGGTAGTCTCTTTCATGTGATCTTGACTATATTGTTATGTAATTAATGAAAGTACGGGTGTAAGCTTGTGTTATTATTTTAGATGGATCAAGGGAACAGGTGAAAAATTGTGCTATAGTAGTAGATGATACTGTTAATGATGTGATTATAGTATAAACGGGCGTTATATTGCAATTTTTTTCCTGAAAAATAACGAAAAAATTGAAGCTTTTTACATCAGCTGTAAAATAACCGATGTGATTGCTTTTCTACATGGGTTATAACCGATGTGAAACACATATGTTTCGGAAAAATGAAGCTTTTCACATCGGTTGATAAAATGACCGATGTGAAATCTTTTCTACATGGGTTATAACCGATGTGAAAACCTATGCTCCGGGAAAAATTGAAGCTTTTCTACATCGGGCACTGAACAACCGATGTAAAAAGAATTTCCACATCGGTTCTTTGACCGATGTGAAAAGTCTCTACTTTTCACATGGGCTGGAACCACATCGGCTGTTTGACCGATGTGAAAAGCCTTTTTTGACCGATGTGAAAAGCCTTTTTTGTAAGAGCCAAAACCGTGGAGGAACTACTGCCTGCTACGCACGATCGTGCGTAGCCAGGGACGCACGATCGTGCGTAGCCCCGAGTTACGCGCGGAAATCTCCCACATCGACCAGAATTGTGATTTTTCCCCTCTTTTCTATAAATAAGGCCTCCCTAACCCTTTTTAGGGGGGGACGAACATCACGGAGAGGCCTAGAGACGAATTTAACACCGTTTTTACGCTATTTTCTTCCAAGACCCTGAGATTATTTGTAAGTTCATCTTTTTAATTAATGACAATTTATTCTATTCTTCCCAATTCTGTTGATTCTTCAATTATGAATTGTGAGTAGTTTAATTAGGGATTTGGGATTGATGAAGGGGTTAATCATGATTGATGGCTAGATTCTTTTCGATTTAATTGCATGAATGCCGTTTAATTTGTGTTTCAATAATTTAACTGATATCTTTTGTAACCTGGAACCGCGGCTAGAATTACAATTGCACATAGAATAAATTAAGAGAGATCTAGTTTATTCTAGGACACATTCACACACACTTAATCGTTTGCTAAGAGATTAGTAGCGATTAAGGGGCCGTAAGCTCGTTCGTCTTGGCAATAATTTAGGATCCTGTCGCATGAGAGATCAGCCTGGTCCCCTAAATTATTGTACTCTACGCCGCGAGAGCGGTAAGAACTTAGTATTGATTAGCTAGGCTCAATTAAATTAATTTCATGTAATTAGGCCTGATCTACCCGAAATCTGATTACCCCGGAATCAATCCCTGTTCCCTTCGTCGTTAATTAGAGAGAACCCAATCTTTTATTTTAATCGTTCATTCGCATTAGTTTAATTTTAATTCAACCAACCAATCTCGCACGACGCTTTTATTTTATTCCTTTTTGTAATCGCTGAATTTAATTAATCCTTGATTCCCTTTTGTCCGTCCCTGTGGAGACGATACTCGTACTTTCACCGCTATTCTACAATCTTTTAAAGTGCGAGAAAACTAACATCACGCTCTAAGGTGGCCGATGAGGGCGCCTGTTAATGTGCTACTCAAATTCCAAGAAATCAAAGGGAACATGATTTTTATTCAAGAGTGGCTCAAGGCCGAGGGTGGTGTTCAATCAATAACCCGTCAAAGGGTGAGGGCTTCGCCGGCTGCACCTCCTTCGGATTATTGATAAAACTTCACCAAATGGTGTACATTCCACGTTCGTGGTACATTGGTCCCGTTGGGGCGTTTGAGCTTGTAGGTACCGGGTTTCACCACGGCACTGACGATGTAGGGACCTTCATACTTCAAGGCTAGCTTGCCTCCTTCCGTCGGTTGACTTGCTTCCCTTCGGCGGAGGACGTAGTCCCCCACTTGGAATTCTCGGGAACGTACCTTGGCGTCATAGTATGATTTTACTTGACGCCGGTAGTTCTCCGCTCGGATGAATGCTTGCTCGCGTCTTTCTTCGACCAGGTGGAGGTCGATCTTCATGTTCTCCTCGTTAACCTGAGGGTCGTACTGCTCCACCCGTCGGCTGGGAATGGCGACCTCTGTGGGTGCCTTTGCTTCAAAGCCATAACACAGGGCAAAAGGTGTTTCACCCGTTGCCCTCCTCGGCGTAGTACGATAGCACCACAGGATGTTGGGGAGCTCGTCGACCCAACTCCCTCCTGCGTCCTGTAGGTTCTTCTTCAGCCCCTCCATTATAGTTCTGTTGGCGTTCTCAACCTGCCCGTTGCCTTGAGGGTAGGCAACGGAGGAGAAACGGTGCTTTATTCCCCACTCTCGAAGGAGCTCCTGAAAGGGCGTCGCTTCGAACTGGGTGCCGTTGTCGGATATGATCTCTTGGGGGACACCAAAGCGGGTGAGAATGTTCTTGTGAACGAACTTCTGACACCTGGCCCCCGTGATGCTGGCCAAAGGTTCCGCTTCGACCCACTTGGTGAAGTAGTCGACTGCGACGATGATGTAGCGGTTGTTGCCAGCAACTTTGGGTAGAGGGCCGACCAGGTCAATTCCCCATCTCGAGAATGGAATAGCAGTGCTGATGGGGGCGTAGTTGACGGCTGGCCGACCAGGGGCCTTCTGGAGCACCTAGCACGTGGTACATTTCCTGGCCAGGTCTGCACAATCCCGCGCCATTGTCGACCAGAAGAAGCCCTGGACGACGAGACGCCGGGACATACTGAAAGGGCCCTGGTGCGAGGAGCAAACACCACAGTGAACTTCTTCCATGGCCACATCAGCCTCGTCCTGGTGTAGGCATCGGAGGAGAGTACAATTATAGGATCGTTTGTAGAGTTTGCCATCTTCAATGGTGTAGCTTGGGGCCCTGAGTTTGGCGAGCTTGGCCCTCTCCTCGTCCTGGGGTAGCTCCCCCGTCGTGATGAAAGTGGTGATGTCGGAGATCCAGTCCTCCGGTCGCTGTTGGATGCACAAGATGGGGCTGGCATGGATGCTGGACATACTCAGCTCCTCGATCTTGGCTAACTGGGAGATGTGCTCCGGAGTGTCTGAGCTGAGTTTGGAGAGGATGTCGGCCTCGGCGTTCTCGACCCTTGGGATCTGTGTGATCTCGTGGGTTTCGAACGCCTTCAACAACTCCTCTTCCGCCTGTTTGTATTGCTTCATCCGACCTTCCTTTGCTTCGTACGTACCCTCAACCTGGCCCACTACCAGCTTGGAGTCGCACCTGATTCTGATGTGTCTGGCTTTGAGGCCAGTGGCAAGTTTGAGGCCGCTGAGGAGGGCCTCATACTCAGCTTCATTGTTGGATACCCTGAAGTTGAAGCGGATGACATAGTAAGCTCTGAATCCTTCAGGGGATATGAGGACGCCGCCGCCGCCGCATGATTTCGCGGCCGACGAGCCGTCGGTGAAGAGGATCCATGTGTCATCGGGCTCTGGGCCGGGGGTGGTAGCGGCTGTCTCCCTTGCCGTGCATTCGGTGACGAAGTCGGCCAAGGCTTGCCCTTTGATAGATGGCCTTGGCTTGATCTCAATCTGAAACTGGCTGAGGAAGATCGCCCATTTCACCATCCTAGAGGAGCTAGTGGGGCTCCTCATGAGTGCGCCAAGGGGCTGTTGGGTCAGTACATGGACGGCATGGGCCTGGAAGTAGTGCCCCAGCTTTTTCACCGTATGGACGATGGCTAGCACCGTCTTCTCAATGGGGGAGTACCTGAGCTCGGCCTCCCTAAGTGTCTTGCTGATGTAGAAAATGGCCTTCTGCACCCCTTCGTCCTCACGGATGAGCACGGAGCTGATGGCCGACGTGCTCACCCCTAAGTACAAGAAGAGGGTTTCGCCGGCCTTGGGTTTGGAGAGCACTGGTGGGGACGAAAGGTACCTCTTCAGCTCTTCAAATGCTTCCTGGCACTCCGTCGCCATTTGAAGTTGTTTGCTTTGCGCATGATCTGGAAGAAAGGGAGTGACCTCTCGGCTGACTTGGATAGGAAACGGCTCAGGGCCGTCAGTCGCCCTGTCAGCCGTTGCACCTCTTTGACGTTGCGGGACGGCTCCATGTCGATGATAGCTTGTATCTTCTCCGGATTTATTTCGATGCCTCTCTGGCTGACCATGTAGCCGAGGAACTTGCCGCCTTGGACGCCAAAAGTGCACTTCATGGGGTTGAGGCGGAGTTTGAACTCCTTCATGATTTCAAAAATTTCCCGGAGGTCGTCAGCATGTGTGGTGGCTTGCCTGCTCTTGACAATCATGTCATCGACGTATGCTTCCATCGTCCGGCCGAGGACTGCTCTAAAGATCTTGGCCACCATCCTGGTATAGGTGGCGCCGGAGTTTTTGAGCCCGAAAGCCATGACAAGGTAGCAAAAAATTCCCTCCGGGGTCATGAATGTCGTTTTCTCAGCGTCATCTTCATGCATGAAAATTTGGTGGTACCCTCTGAAGGCATCAAGGAACGACATCAACTCGCATCCCGCCGTCTCGTCCACCAACTGATCAATGTTGGGGAGAGGGAACGCGTCCATGGGGCACGCCTTGTTCAGTTCAGTGTAGTCAACACACATTCTGAATGTCGGCGGTTTTTGGGCGAGGACGACGTTGGCTAGCCACGTCGGGTACTTCACCTCCTTGATGTGGTTGATTGAGAGGAGCATGGCGACCTCCCCTTTGACGAAGTCCCGCCTGTCGGCGGATAAGTAGCGCTGATTCTGCTTGACAGGCGCGGATGCCTGGCATCCCGCCTGTGGTGATCACCTGCCGGCTGATGCTTGACGGCGTATGACCGTAGGACGAGGAGGATGGCGTCCCGCTGGTCCTGTGGGAATTGCTTCCCGATTTTGAGGACCCGCTCCGACCGGGAGGTATCCAGAGGGACTTCCTCGACCTCCTCGGCCGGTTCGGCATGCGGCCTCTCCTCGTCCTTGGAAACGGCTGCCGTGATGGTGTCTATCCTCTGTCCTTCCCTCTCGTCCGGCCTCGTTAGCTTGAGGTAGCATTCT